AAGATGTGTGAGGTTAATGAGCGGTGTGAGAGGGAACGTGTTGTGTGAGCAACGCGGGAGAAGAGAGGAAGATGTGTGAGGTTAATGAGCGGTGTGAGAGGGAACATGTTGTGTGAGCAACGGGGGATGAGAGAGGAAGATGTGTGAGGTTAATGAGCAGTGTGAGAGGGAACGTGTTATGCGAGCAACGCGGGGGAGGAGAGGAAGATGTGTGTGAACTGTGTGAGAGTGAGCGGGTTGTGCGAGCAACGCGGGCGGAGAGAGGAAGAGGTGTGAGGTTAATGAGCTGTGGGAGAGGGAACGGGTGGAGTGAGTAACGCAGGAGGAGATAGAAAGATGTTGTGGTGGGAGGATGTGGTTCGAGAGAGAGATAGAGAGAGGCAGTGAGTGAAGGTTGGGGAAGGGAAGGATCTGCGGGGTGAGTGAGGTGCTTGAGGGAGTGGAGTGGGGTAGTTGGAGCTTTGGGAGAGAGCAGGACCGGGGGGGGGGGAGAGAAAAGAGAGAGAAAGTATGGGCCGCGTGAGTAAATTTCGAGGCGGCAGGGGAAAGACGGCGTGAGTAGAGGCACGTAGGGCATGTCGCAGGTAGTGGACGAAGAGGGGCAGTGGGAGTGAATGAATAGTGTGTGTGTGTGTGTGGCCCGATAAGGGTTGATAGGTGGACGATGGTCACCGATGTTGGTGACGCAAGTGAATAAAAATGGTGTGCGTGTGTGGCCTGGTATAAGTCGAGAGATGGTTAGTGATTGCCGATATCGGTGACGGGAGAGAATGATCCGAGTGTGTGTGAGTGGCCTAGTATAGGTCGAGAGATGGTTAATGGTGATGTTGGTGATGTAATTGAATGAAAATGGTGTGCATGTATGGCCTGGTATAGGTCGAGAGATGGTTAGTGGTCGACAATATTGGTGACGGGAGAGAATGATCAGAGTGTGTGTGAGTGGCCTGGTCTAGATCGAGAGATGGCTAATGGTCGTCGATGGTGGTGACGGGAGAGAATGATTAAAGTGTGTGTGTCTGTGTGGCCCGATAGGGGTCGGTAGAGGAGTGATGGTCGCCGATTTTGGTGACAGAAATGAATGAAAAATAGTGTGCGTGCGTGGCCCAATAAGGGTCGATAGGTGGTTAATGGCCGCCGACCTTGGCAGTGGATGGTATCACTGGCACGCCTGGGGTGCTGTCGGGGAATGGAAACCTTGGGTAAAGGGATTGTAGGTACAGGGGGAAGAAACTGGAGTTCAGTAGTGAACTGTTGGTAGAGGCATGAGGTTTATATTGTTGCATTTCACACCTGTATTTTGAGTTTTATTGTACTGGGTTAAATAAACTCACTCTTTTCTCTTTACAGATGATGTAGGGACGGAGTTTGGATCGAAGTTGTTAGCTTCCGAACCTAGTGTGTAGAGTAACAGGATAAAGATTCTAGTTTCTTTTGACCGAATAGAATGTGTAAAATTGATGGTAGCATAGATATTGAATATGGTTGTATTGTGTGCGATGACTTGTACATGATTGTAGGTTTATCTTGATCATTGAATAAGGGATTGTGATAGAGTTTCCTCGTGCATGACCGATTGGTTATGGAATTGGTTGCTTTATTAATTACGTCCAACGTGAAAAGAAAAAAAAACGGGGTGTTACAGTTAGTGTAGCTCACTCTTTCAGTAACCATTTCAGATCAAGATGACCAAGATTCAGATCCCGATCTATAAGAGGGTTGCAAATATGATGTCTAATTGTTTACTTTCCATTTATTTCTTTAATTTTTTCATTGTTCTTTTAAAATGGTCATTCTCGTAACCCTATTAGGTATTATGAATTATTGTGTAATGAATGTAAACCATAACGCTATTATTTCGCTTCTGAATTCAATTTATAATTTATTTCCTTTTAAGTTCCCGGTCGTTACATCCTTCCTCTTTCTACTTTTCATACTCATTGACATAAATGAGGGATAAACCGTTCAAAATTCATAGTAATATTAGTTGATTATACTTAAAAATTAGTTTTTCACTTTCGAGTATAGAGATGATGTCCAAAAATTGTCCACTAACATTTAATTAAGTCTTCTTGTAATTCTTTAATATAATTGAACCGTGTAGAAACTATAACCAGTATTTACACAATCAAACAATTCTTTAAAAATTTTCAAGTATTCTTACCTCCGAAAAAAAATTTCTCATACTTTACCGAGAACTTCAATCATAGACTCTATGTGAGTTTTTTTATTTAGTCTGAAATTAATATGTATAGTTGTATTCTTTAGAGAGCAGATCATTTTTTTTTTG